TCTTTATTCCTATTTGACCCATTCCATTCCCGGTGATAGACAAGATAGGTTGGAGAATCACTTAACAAGATTAATTAAGCACAAGGATAGAGTGAGACTATTAGCTAAGTCATTATTCCAATAAGAAATTAGGTGAAATATTCCATATTTTAGTTGTTCACCCAACTAGCTAACTACCTAGGACCTTATCTTTTAGTTAAGTTTCCAATGCTCATGTATTCCCATCCTAAGTTGTTCCTTGATCGCGTGGCCAAAGTGTATGACAGACAACCATATGCTCCGATATCCGGTTGTGGGGACCCGCCGTGTTAATTCAGCTAAATCGAGTGTCATCCACTTGACTGACCTAATTTAAGCAAACCAATATATGTGACTCCCTAGGAGCGCTTCTTGGCAACTCCTCTTCAGGATCAGGTTGAGTATAATACCACGATAGCCTTCACAACTCAAGATAACATCTCATCATCGGAGTACATAATAATTCAGCGGAAATCATATATTACAAGTCTTATTAAATTTAACAAGTTAATTATACAACATTAAAGAAGACATTGATTCAATACAATCATATGTAGTGAGGACCAACTACTATCTTACCAACTACAACTATGATATACACTCTCACTAGTAACAGGTAGTCACCTTGCCCATGGGTGTCACTACCATAGCTTGCACGACTCCTGCCATTCACCCACTTTGCCACCAACAACGGGGTGAGATGGCTGCCAATGTCCTTTACCTGTAAAACAACTTAACGGCAGCACTGTGAGTACATTGCGTACTCGTAGGACTTAATTCCAACATATAGTATTTGGTGGATGCATAGGGTGATTATTAGGCATTTGTATAAGTGCGGAAAGCAATGATGTTCATTAAGAGTACGACATGCTATGCTCAACTTTTAGAATTAAAGCATTTATCATTGCAACCAAGATGCTCATAGTCCATCATCCATCAACAACGCTACAATGGGTATAGAAAGTAGGAACAACTGAATGATTCCGTCCTAAGGGACTTTAGGCTTTTAAGAGTCTGCAGAGGTGTACAACTGTACCCACATGGAAGGACGGGACTAACCACCATACCTCGCGCACGAGAGTAAGGGTTGCCTCATGCCTTCCAACCTTTCCCTAATCCGACCGGAATGTCAAATGAAAGGTTCGACTGGATGGCCGGGTCAGGTTTCCACCATCTTCCTAGTTCCTCGGGTCAGGCTTCTGTACTATAACGGGTCCTCGGTTCGTTACGTACACCATCTTCCTAGCACCATCCCCCTTGCCAGTTTCATGGATAGATAGGTTGCAATTAGTTACTTGGCTTGTCGACCCCATCTGCGACATGTGGTCTGTACGGGTGGTTACTCAGACTTACGTATCCCAATACACGATCCTTACTGCTCCACGAGCTATGTCGTCTGGGATCCCACACTCATGGAGACCTACCCCTCACTTGAGCAAGATATCCAAGTTATCATCAAGATTACAATATTAGGGATATTATTCCTTAGCTAGATTAGTAAGGTGGGTCAAGTTATACCCTCATTGGTTTTAGTAGTTCATTATCCAGGTGTAGCATCCTACACGCGCGAGTATGAGTTCTCTTCTCATGCTCGACTTCTACCATTGCCCAAGCAACTAAGCAATAAGCATTAAGCGTTCCCATTCCCATCGTTAAGGTGAGAGGCTTCTAACAGATTATTAAGCTACTATAGGTGTAGTATGAAGAGATCATTATCCAAGACTACATGTAATGCATAACTCATAATGCGACTTGATAAGTATCCAAAGTAGTGTTCATAATAGTGGGGTGCCTGCTTGTTGGGTGAGCAAGGATCCCATAGCTTGGAACATTGCTGGGAGTGTCTCCAATATCACATACCTATATATATGTCCATGTATGAGATACTTATGCATGCATGACATTATATTAAACATGCAAGAGAGAGTGTTCAGGTATACATTGAAGGGTTGTCGGTTTATGTCATCGGTAGTCCGGCGTGAATGTCGGACAGTCCGGTGGTTCTGGGACTTAGTGGGAAAATGACATGCTGGAAACATCGGACTCTCTGAACTAAGATCGGACTCTCCGTTATGAAGTCTGTGCTCTCAGGAAACTTCTCTATCAATGGTTTATAACTTATAGGACACTCTGGTGCGTGTGACGGAGCCTCCGGTAAATTATAAGGGCTTAGCCTCTTCCGGTGGTCAAAAATGAGATATGCCTTTGGTGTTAAAGCTATGTCTAGATGATAGAGGATATTCTATGGAGCACAAAGAAACTCGTTTCACTATTTTTGGAGGTCAAATGCACCTTCTATGGATTTTACAAGTGTAGGTTGTATGCATGTGCAGAGATTATAGGACACTCAGAACTAACAACGAAACCTTCTGATAAACCTTCCGATAAACCCTTCGATAATCCCAGGCTGCTCTCGGGTTTTAGCTATAATTCAACGGACACTCCGCCAAAATGACAGACCATCCGATAAATGACGAACAACAGTTGTGCAAACATGTTGGGATCGATTCATGGGGCATTCGAAATCCGAATCGAGTGCGGTTTGTTTCTATGGCTTTCTAGTGATGTAGGGAAGCTTCTACAAGTGATGGATGTGACATGCATGGGCTGTGGTGAGCTCGACCCCATCCATGGTGGTGGTAGCCATGGATGAAGGTGAAGCTCATGGGTATAGCCATGGGTGGTTGGGGAAGATGAAGTTAGGCTTTGGGGATGTGCTCACCATGTCTTGGGGAAGCTCCATCTACAGCAGTTCGAATCGGAACACCTTGTGGTGGGAGATCGACGTCGGGCTTACTCCATGGTTTGAGGAAGAAGATGGTGCTTGGGGCTCCATCTCCTCCAACTCCGGCGACATCGAGGGTGTGGGGGGCTGCAACAGCTGGTCGCCGGCATGCACCAGCAGCAGGGGGCATCCCCTTCTTCCCTCTTCTCCTTCTCTTCTTCTCCCTTGTTCCTCTCCTTCTCTCCTTTCACGTGAATGAGAAATGGGGAGGGAGAGAGAGGGAGGGCTGGTGTGTTGGTGTGGGTGAGGTGGTGACATGTCGGCCCGGAGGCGGTCTGGTGTTGCCAACACAACATATGCATGTGACAGGTGTCGCTATGTTTTATCGGACAGTCCGCCGAATGTGTCGGACAGCCCGGTGGCGTGCCTGACAGACAGACTGTTTGTGCATGGATTTCTACGGACACTCCGCCGTGACGGTGGACACTCCGTCAGTGCACAGGTTGGCCAAGATTATTCTAATTCTATGAGATGTCTTGACGGACGGTCCGGTGGTGATGTCGGACGATCCGCCAAAACTGGCAGTGCTCGGTTTTGGATTGGCGTAGGCACAAGTCAGATTCTAATTGTGATTATGACATGCACACTAGGATGGTCGTCGTCGTCTCCCACCGGCGCCCCCCACGGCCCCCGGTGCGGCGCCCTCCGCACCGCCGCGCGGCGCGTGCTTGGAGGACGTAGGGTCGTCGCGAGCAGTCATTTTACAAACAGCAAAAAAAAACTTCATATAAGGTTTGAAACTAGTGTAAGGATCGAATAATGATCCTAAGAGGGGTTGAATTGGGGCTATATAAAAAATACATCATGACAAACCTTAGGCTTATGAAAAACTATCATCCCCTACTTACGGTTCTTACCTAAGAACTACAGGATTCATACTAAACATGTACTAATCAAAGGACACACTAAAATATTGTCCTTAGTTCGCAAGACATAAAGGAGGCAAAGAGACAAGCGAATTTCTCCCAGGGTATCAGTTGACGAAATGCAACTCTCTAGTATACGCTGAAGCTCCATCGAGGTACGCTTCTGGACACCAGTCTTTTCCAATCATAGGGTTTGTTACCAACCAAAGACAATAGAGTGACACGGTGTCCCTATACCACCCGACTGTTCCGATTTCGGTGTTGGACTCCACCCAACCAACGAAAATGTCCTCGGTCATACAATTTCATCATTATGGTCACTATTGGATCACAAACCAAAGGAGGAGTGAGTCACCATTGTCCTGAATATTCAAAATAAAAGGGATGTTCTGCACTGCATGTTCTGAAATACGTGTGTAATATGAACTTCATATCATTTGGATGTACAAGTCTCTTTGATTTGTTCCAAAATAAAATTAGGCTGCGCAGAATACAGTGTATCTCTGTTTGGTAGCGAATTCAGAGAGCTAATAGTTAAAACATAGTGTTAAAATTCATCCCAATTGACATGACAGGATCAATTCAAATTTTAGTAGAAACATACATCCAAAATCCAAAATAAACAAGATTACAATTCACGCACCAACGACAGCATCACCACTAGAAGCAAGCAGGGCCAGCCTCCACGCCGGCTGCTAGGGCTGTTACGTTGATGGTCGAAGACAGCTGCCCGGTGTGTGGTCGAGGCCGGCGGCTGTCTGGCCTCCGCGGCTGCGAGTCGTCTGAGCAGTGAGCAAAGCCGGGTGCCGTCCTGTGATCGATCGATGCTTCTCCCTTCTCGGAAGACTCCTGTGAATGTGAACTGTGATCGCGGCGGGCGCCGGCAGCAAGGAAAAGCGTGGGCGTCGCCTACCGCGAGCGCACCGTGCGTCAAGACTCAAGACCAGTCCCAGACGCGTGGCAATGGCATGCATACTGCCTGCAGACCGTACCAAATTTTCCTCCCGTTCCTCCCGTGCGCGCTGCGCGGTCTGGGGCTCTGGGCAGTGGCACGAGCACGCCGCGTGCCCCCACGGATCGAAGCGTGAGGGGATTACACGAGGCTGATGGTCCAAGGCTTGGTCCCGACGCGCGGGCGGGACGTGGCAGAGCACCGCCCAAGCGGACACCAAGTGCTGAGCTACCAGAGCAGCACCTTATGCCGTCCTTGCTCCTCACTCTTCAGTCATCTCGCTCTCACTCTCGCAGTCGCAGTCGCCGTCGCAGTGGTAGCGGCCCCTCCGTCCTCGTCTCCCACTGCCCTCTCCCTGTCGCCGGTGCCCGCACGCGCCATGTCGTACAACAAGGCCCCGTCCATCACCGCCGAGACCATAAATCCCAGGGTAATGAGGCTCCCCGGCCCTCCTCCGCCTTTTGCACAGCATCGTCATTTCTCCTTCAGAAATTATATATGTTTATAGAACCAACCGTGCATATATTCTTCCGATTTAACTGAAAAGCTGAGGTGACTGACGTACGTGTCCGTTCATTTGAAGGTCAAGATCTTCAACTACGCACCTTGCGGGGAGATCCTCAAGCACGCAGAGGTAACGTTCCCACCGGCCGACTCGCTTGCTTCTCAGCTGAAGAGCCAAGAAACTAGTAGATTCAGCATCTGTACGCTACATTCCTGATTATTTTCCTTTGGTTTGATTAGTTGCAAAAATAAAGTTCTTTGTTTAAACTGTATGGATTTTTTTTTTTTTTAAAAAAAAGGATCTAACTGTTGTTGGTCTAGTTTAAATTGTACTACCATTGTTATTTTTAGTAACAAATGGTGCCTCAACGTTTCAGATCTTGCGTTACATATATTTAGATCTCAATAACATCACCTGAGAACGTGCACGTAGTGTAGTGGTATTTAGATCTCAATAACATCACCTGAGAACATGCACGTAGTGCAGTGGTAAGGAAAACAGAAGTGCAACCTACCGGTCGGGAGTTTAAATCCCCGTTCTCACAAAAAAGGCCACACCTTATGCTATTTTCAGTAAAATACATGGTCCAATAGCGGTTGCAGCGTAATACATGGCACGTCGAATAGCCGGGGTTCGTGGCCTTTTCTCAACCCTGCGGAAAAGAATCTTCTACCTTTCCGTCAATGCCTCAGGGGAGGTCTGATCCCCAGGGTCGAGTTTTTTCTTTTAAAATGCAAAATTATTGACTAATAAAAGGACATAATATTGTCTTCGCTATGTATCATTCAGCGGTTGGAGCAGGAGATGGAGGGAAACCCTGGTTCTCTCCCTTTCCAAGAGGTGAAACTCCCTCTCTGCAAGTGCGTGTATATCACAGTTTATACCCTTTGATCAGTCTTTGACGTTGTCCAACAGATAATATACTGCAATCTTGGGAACCCCCAGGTTCTTGGTCAGCCACCATTAACTTTCTTTCGTGAGGTTAACATCCTTACCCTCCACAAAAAAATTCTAAGACGATGCAAAGATACCGCTGTTTCATGCTCAAAATTGTTGGCTCCAGGTTCTTTCGCTGTGTGACAATCCAACCCTCCTGGACAAAGATGAAGCTTGTGCCTTATTCAGGTTGGACTATATAGTTGAACTCTGTTTACTGTGGCATTACGTGGAGCTTCATAAACTGAGCATGAATCTTACGTCCAAAAAATAAACTGAGCATGAATTTATGTTTTTTTCACTTCTAGCACTAAAGCTGGTAAGAACTACTTTCGATGGTACATAACTTGGCAGAAGCTTGACTGATAATGTTTCAATCTACTGCCACAGTCCTTCTAGCATAAAAAGAGCCAGGAGGATCATAAATTCGATTCTGAGCAAAGACACTGGTGGATATACTGATAGTCGGGTACCCAACTGGAATCACATTTTTAATTATTGTAAAAATGTTAGAGACTTTGGGAGTCATGAACACAGCAGCAGCGTTCTCAAATCAGAATTATTGAGGATCAGTATGCAACCCAAAACGCGTTCTTTCTTTACTTGGTGCTGTAATGATGTTTTCCGGATGGTATATAATTTCCTTTCACAATTATGGGTTACCTTGTTGACACTTGCTTAATATGATCAGGGAATCAAATGCCTGCGTCAAGTAGTTGCAGACGGGATTACTGCAAGAGATGGTTTTCCATCAAAAGCAGATGATATTTTTCTGACAGATGGAGCTGGCGCAGCGGTAATACTCTGCATTTCAGAACAAACATGCACAGATGCACATGAAACTGGGTCCTTTACAAATACAAACATCAGTGTGGATATCTTCAACTTGACCGCGAACCTTTCTACCTTTTCAGATCAATTTGCTGATGCAGATACTCATCAGGTCTCACGAAGATGGCATTTTGAGCCCTCTACCAGAATACCCCTTATACTCCGCTTCCATCATACTTCATGGTGGAACGATGGTACAGTACTAGTCTTCTGCAACTAAAAAGAACAAACTGTGGAAGCGACATTTGTTTTGGGTCTGCCTCTCCCCACCCCTGCGATACCGCGGCTAATAAAAAAAGAAAAATCCCCCCTCGTCTCTCTCGTGACCCGATGCCCGACGGCGCTCCCTCCCCCCGACAGCCGACGGCGCTCCTCCCTCCCGGCCACGGCGACGCTCCTCCCTCGCCGGCGGCGGTGGCGCTCCTTCCTCGCCGGCGACGGCGGCGCTCCTCCCTCGCCGGTGGCGCTCCCTCTCACGGCAGCCTCCCCATCTCCAGCGAAGCTTTGCGAGCTCGGCCTCGGCGCGGCCAGATGCGTGGGCACGGTGGGCCCTTGCTGCATCGCATGGGGGCTAGGACGGCCGACGGCGGCCCCTGGCCTGTCCCACCACGCCACCGGCACCTGCGGCGACCAGTGTTTTCCTAAACGCTAAACGGTAAACAGTCGGTCACCTACCGTTTAGCCATTATTCGGGCAAAACGTCCCATTAAACGGGCTAAACGGCCAATTAAACGGGGTAAACGGGTGATTAAATAGAAATGGTGCACCACCGTGTATCGTTTACACGGTGTTTAAATGGGCTAAACGACCGTTTAGGTGAACAGTGGCGGCGAAGGTGTAGGGGCGATGGCGTCGCCACCCCGCAGCGGCACCGGCGGCGGCGGCGCCCCCTCAGATCCGGTCGACGGGCAGGAGGAGCCTAGAGCGAGATGAGGGGCGAGCAGATCGAATGGGATGAGGAGCGAGTAGATCGACAAGGTACGCCCTTTCCTCCTCCCTAGCTTGACAAGGTGCGGCTAGGCCATCGAGCTCCGCGGCCCCCGGCGACAGCCTGGCCAAACCCGCGTGCTCGATAGCCCCTGGCAGCGGTGCGGCCCCTGATCTAGCGACTTCAACCTTCCCCTCTCCATCGGCATCATAGGGGCGGCTCCCCCTTTCGTAGCTCCAGTTGGGCAAGCAGCAACTATAGCTCTGGCATGCTCAGCCCACAGAACAGCCCATCACACCCAGTGCTTCTCTTCTCGTATGACCCGTGCAAGCTTCCCCTGCTCTATCAGATTCCTTGTGATTCAATGATTTTTTGCAGCATGCTGATACCCCGCTTGAATGTTGCAGTAGTGGGTGGAGGCGATCCCTCCTCTCCTACCCCAGGCAACAAGCTTTGACGGCATATCCTGGGCAGCACACTGCGTCCAATGAACTGCTTGAGGTGATGGATTTTTCTTTTTTATGTATGGACGAAGGGGATTTCTTTAATTCTTTTATTCATCTCTTGTTCCTCTTGCAGACACGCATGGTGGCCATGGCAAGAGCATCGTTGGGTAGCTGCAGAGGGTGCTCAATATTTTCGCTTCTATGATTGTTTCCATATTTTTTCTATGCATGTTGTATGATTATCCTCAGGTTTTCTATGCGTATACTCAATTTTTTTGTGATTTGTCATTACTGTTTTTATGCTTCTCCTTGATATGATGTGTAATGAAATCGAAGTCTTAATTTTTGGTCACGGAGATATGTATTCTATATATTGTTGGAACAAATTTCTGTATACTATTGTAGTACATTTTTATATATTGTTGGAGCAGCTATCTATGCACTCCTACACAATTCTATACATTGTTAGAGCACACTTCTATGCATTATTAGAACATTTTGACATACATTGTTGGAACAGTTATCTGTACACTTCTACACAATTCTATACATTGTTGGTACACAATTCTATACATTGTTCTATGCTTTGTTTTTGTTGGGGCCGTCACAATTGCGATACAATAATCCCCTAGAAGGGAGGGTATTTGGGGTTCTATGCACTGTTCATCTATTAATTATATGTCCTCAAAGTGACAATAATGGTTTGGGTTAGGGTTGTGCTTGTTTTGGATAAAATAATCTCCCATATGGAGGGTTTTATTGGGTTCTATGCATTGTTTCTCTATTAATTATACATTGCCCAAGTGGGAGGCAAGGTTTGGGTTGGGACCATAATAGATTTTTGTGTCTATAAAAACATGTTTACATGTCTCTCTTGCCGCTGTAAGTTTTCTGTGCATACTAAAACATGTTTATATGCCTTTCTTTGCCACTGTAAGGTTTCTGCGGCTGCTAAAACATGTTTCTATGCCTTCGTTGTGATGTAGGATGGTTGGAAGGATGTTTCTGCGTGACCTCTCCCTGCTCCCTCATCCCTTCCACACCCAGTGGCAGCGGCCCGTCCCTACAACGCGTGCAGCATCCCGGTGGCGGATCTGGCGCCCCACGATGGCAGTGCCATTTCCTTTGTCCCCACCAACGGAAGCTCAACCTCCTCAAGCCAGCACGACATCTCCGGCAATGGCAGCGACGCCTCTTTATTGTTTTTTGTTTGCTATTTTTGTGTTCTTATGCATGTGTGCATAAATTTCTTTGCATGGTTAAACTGTAACTTGGAATGCATTCTATACATTATTACAACAAATTTGTATACATTATTATTGGAGCAGTTATCATGTGCGCTGCCACACAATTATATACATGGTCAGGGAACTCTTCTATGCATTGTTAGAAGAATTCGACATATACTGTTTGAATAATTATACGTTGTTGCTACACAATTGTATACATTATTGGTATACAATTATGTACATTGTTGGAGCACTTCTATGCAGTTTTTATACGGCAACAACAAACTACTAATTTCTATGCAATGTTGGTGTCAAAAATGTTTAAGCGCATCTTGATCATCGGTTCTATGAATCTAATCGTCCATCACATGCTATTTTTCAAATTTCAAATTTTTGAGAAGACGAGATCGTCTCCATGTTTTACGCATGCGGTCTCCATGTTCTATGTATTGTCCCCATGTTAATTATACACCCCCATATTTTGAAACATGATGTTGGTGGAGGCAACCACGGTTGTCTCAGGTGGAATGTCCGTATTTATATGCAACATGGCACCAAAAACTTTTCTACGCATCTTGACCATTGATTCCATGCAACCAATCGGCCATCACGTGTCATGATTCAAATTTTAAATTTTGGAGAAGACGAGGTCGTCTCCATGTGGAGAGGTTTTTACGCGGTAACAAAGTTAGATTTTATTCATTCAACCACTAATTTGTATGCAACATCGGAACTAAAAACTTTTTTGCGCATCTTGACCATTGATTCTATGCACCCAATCGATCATCACGTGCCATGATTAAAATTTCAAATTTTGGAGAAAACGATGTTGTCTCCATGTGGAGAGGTTTTTACACGGTTCAAAATTCTGCTTCTTATCCAATTTTAGTATCCCTTGTGGAAAGTGTTATACACTACAGATTGAAACAAATTCCTAGTTGTTCGTCCAACAATGAGTCCTTACGAATTTGTTAATACCGTGGAGCCATTTCAATATGATAATATCTTAACAGAGCAATGTGTCTACTACCGATTACAATTTCAATGGTGACGTGAAGTTGCAGCCTCCAAGAGTGACTAAGGATAAGGTGAAGTACCATCGGTGACTACTGTACACCAGCCACATAGGTGACATTGATGTAGGGCATATCTTTTGTATTTTCTTGGACAGATTAAGGTCTGGCATCGGCAACTTCTCTAATGTGATCGAAGTCTATTAGTGTCCAGATTGCTATCCGGTGGATGCACAAATCATTTGACATTGTATAGCAAATTGAGAACTAGCTGATTAGAAAAAATCTTAAAGAGTTCATGACAATTCTAATAGTTCTGTTGATCTATTTATCCTTTCTATCTTTACCACATCGATTCTTCTTTCTCTAAAACATACTTGATTACTCGTAAATTCATGGTTAATGCATTAAGTTTTGGATTGTTATAGGTATGGGCAAGGTTGTCGCTCGGCCCTTACCGAATCGGTGAGCCTACGACACCGCGCTCTCCGTGACGGTGTTAATTTCACGAATTTTGCTTTTTGGATTAAATGTCACTTTAACATTTTCATAGTATCGTTATTTTATCGTGCGATCCTTATGTTTTTAGTACAAAAGTTTTCACTGTCCTGTAGTAACGCACGGACACGCTACCTAGTACAGTGGAAAAGATAGTCAAGCAACATTTGCAAATTGCAGTAAAAGTGGCCTGCTTAAAATGTTCAAGCCCAAACTTCTCATCAGATTCATTGCTTTTTCAATTTTAATCATTTTTTTTGTTTCTTAAATTAGAAGACAAAATACGTGTACTCTATGCTTGAAATAACTACGAACTGAACTGTAACTAGGTGCCGTACAATCTTACTGAAGATAATGGTTGGGGCCTTGAGATTTTTGAAGTCAAGAGATGCTTGGAAGAGGCTCGTTCAGCTGGCCTGACTGTTAGAGCTATGGTGGTAATAAACCCTGGCAATCCTACTGGACAAGTATGGCACATGATTTTCCTAAATCCTTTACATGTTGAATAGGGAAAACGAACATCTAGATGAAGTTTTGCAGGGTTCTTACCAGTGATGATCTGATTATCGGAAAATTTTCCATTCAATCACATTTCAGTTCAGCTTTTAGTAGGAATAATTAAATAAGTGATGAAACTTCCTTGCTGAAACATAAATGGCTAGGTAGTGCACAGGAAATGTTTTGTCCTCACCTGCAGCAAGACCCCACGTGTTAGTCAAAATTAGCAAAAATAAAGAGTTAAATGATGCACTCAACCATTAACTTGTGTTGGTACAACCTTTTTTTTCAAACATATATGCCATTACAAGGTATGCATATATGCCACTTTTTTAAAGAGAATAGATATGATGGCTATATATTATATCAATGGTGATTAGAACACCGAATTGATGGCTAGATCTTTCTATTTTTTGTGAGAATTTCTAGGATTTATCTTTTTTTTTCTACTGCATCTTGTGAGAATTAATGTGAAATCTTTGTTGCAACCTCTAATTAGTAGCAGTAAGATTCTAAAATAAGGTAATTACCAGAGTTTTTCTTTGTCAACATCTCCTTCCTTTCTTGTAGGTGCTGTCCATCACCAACCAGGAGGAGATACTGGAATTTTGTCGGAAGGAAGGTCTGGTTATGCTTGCTGATGAGGTTAGTACTAAGTCGAAATGTAGCCCTTTTTGCATTGTCAGATCACATTAACCACGTTAAGAAAAAAAGAGAACATTCTGTCCTGTGCAAATCAATTACTGAAATGTATTTGCAGGTATACCAGGAAAATCTCTATGCAGAGAACAAAAAATTCCATTCTTTCAAAAAAGTGGCCAGATCACTTGGTTATGACGAAAAGGACATCTCCATAGTATCATTTCATTCCGTTTCAATGAGTGAGCCTTCCTTTATATATCAAAAAATATAGTCTTTGGGAGGTCCAGGTTGAAGTTTGGCTGTTCTCCCATCTTCTGAACTTGGAAGGCTATGGGGAATGTGGGAGAAGAGGAGGCTACATGGAGGTGACTGGTTTTGCAGATGATGTGAAGGATCAGATTTGCAAGGTGGCTTCTTTAACAATATGCCCCAACATAGCTGGCCAAATTCTTATTAGCCTTGCAATGGACCCACCAAAGGTTTCAAACTTGAACTAAATCATCACAAAATTCTCTTCATCTATCTGAGTATTTTTACTGAACTTTTCTTGTGACCTGTATGCAGCTAGGAGATGAGTCTTTCGAGTTATTTGATGATGAGAAGGAAAAGATCCGTTCATCTTTCAGGAAGCGTGCCAAGGTGTGCAAGCATCATCCTTCAAGCACATCGATCCGCGTATGAGACACCTTGCATTGTCGTGACAATGGCATGATCTCCTCTTCTCCGTGCAACTGCAGACCCTAGAGAAAGCTTTCAGCAGCATGGAGGGCGTGAGCTGCAACAATTTAGAGGGTGCACTGTACTTGTTCCCACGGCTCCACCTTCCCTCTGCCGCGATCAGGGCCGCCGAGTCCAAGTGAGTTTCACCCGACACATTCTACGCTCACCGCTTGCTTGAGGCCACCGGGATCGCCGTTGTGCCGGGCTCTGGGTTCCACCAGGTTAGTCGGGCTCCTCATGGATAAATCCCTCGTCTTTAAATTTTGTGTATGCACCGTGAGCCTTTGGTACTTGTCAATTTCACCACGCTTGGAGCATAGGAGCAGCAGTTATATATGTATTATATAGAAACACATAGATCTACAGCTACAACAAAAACTCTAAATTAAAGCATGCCATATTATATTGCATAGATTTACTGACGTGGAGTCTAACAAAACTGGAATTTTCTTTTTACAATTTTCTACGATTTTATACCATTTTTCAAAGTTTTAGTCAGTTTATAAAAAAAAACACATGGCCACATCAGTGGCCACGTAGGCAACAAAGTTCTATGTGGCCTGCTTTAGATGGCAGCTAGGATGTAGACAAAGTTTATAGACCTAGATGAGCGAAAAAAAATTCATGGACCTAGATGAGAAGGGGGAAAGTTTAAGGACCCACGGCACAACTCACTCAAAAAATAGAGCCAATTTATAGAAAAGGATAGCATAAGTTCATTGCAAAATATTTAAAGAATTATAAATTAGGAAAATCAAAGAAAATTTAATTAGAATGTGGGAATCTCCATATAGAGCTAAGCGCAATTCACACCACGTAAGATCAAAGTTGCCCATAAGTATGCACAAAGTTGTTGCACAGGGAAGAGCATAGTGAAAGGTGCAATCACACAATTATAAAGCCTAGCATCGCAACCTAAACAAAAAGTTATTTAATTAGAATAGAAAACAAAAGGAATAAGTGGATGACTAGGTAGATTCTATCTATATAAAATAAACAAAAATTGTTTAATTAGAATAGAAAACAAATAAAGGAATAAGTGCATGACTAGTAGGTAGAATCGATCTCTATGAAATACTCCCTTCGTTGCTTAAAAAATGTCATTCTCACTTCTCAAAAATTAAATATTTACAATTTTGATCAAATAAATATAAAAAATATTAATATTTATGGTGCGTAATTAGTATCATTTGATAAATCGCTGAATATGTTTTTATAACAAATTTATTTGGAGATATAAATGTGGATAATGTTTCGTATATACCTAGTCAAACTTAAGAAAACCCTATAGCAACACCATTTTTTTGGATGGATGGAGTAGAGCAAAACGACAATGATAGAACCCAAATAAGTGAAAATGTCTTTATAAAAGGATTTATATTATTTAAGATACATAAGTACTAGAAATTTTGTAAATAAACACATGGTTCAAAACTAATCAAGTTTATTTACCTTTGCACTCAGAAACAAGTAATTTAGAAGCATGTATAAGAAAGGGTGCACCTTCAATCTAACCGAAGCGGTCTTTCAGCCTTTCCATATTTCCAGTCTTCTATAACTGAAAAACAAAATACCAAAATATATTGCAAAATATTGAAGACGAACAATTCAGTTTTAGTCTGGTTCAGTCTTCGGTGTAGAGCAAACTAACCAAAAAGTTTCAAGACATTTATGATAGTGAATTTTAGCATCAATTTTTCTATTCCAAAGAATGTTTGATCGATCATAAGATGAATGAAAATAATATATAACACCAATACCAATATAGTTGTTGCAGTGCAACATAAACGTTCAATTGTTGAATGTTCAACAGTAATAGCTAATAAACTTGCAAATAACAACTCATCATGCAAAAAAAAAGTTTCAAGACAAATGATAGTGAATTTTGGCATCAATATTTCTATTCCAAAGCATGTTTGATAGATCATAAGATGAATGAAATTAATATATAACACAAATACCAATATAGTTGCTGTAATTCAACATAAACGTTCAATTGTTGAATGTTCAACCGTAATATAATAGTTAATAAACATGCAAATAACAACTCATCACCTCTTTTCAAAAATAACAACTCATCATGCAAATAACAGGTTTAGTTCGGTTAACGGAGGCCTAAGACCAAGTACCAGAAATAAATTCGGTTAGTTAGAAATGATGACCGAAGTATTTGGTTCCAGTCTTGATGGTTCAATTCTTCAGTTATGTGTGTAATTATGCTCACCCCTATATATAAGAGCGCTTGGAGATTTTTTTCATAATGATAGAGTTATGATTTAATTTTGAGGCAGATTTAGGTATTAACAGAGGTTCTTAGGTGGTTAATTTATAATTTTATATACAAGCTTAGAGGTTTACTTTAGAAGACTGCGTACAACGCCGCTGCTTAGCTAGGCGCTTATCAGCAGTTGCATCTTTAGGACGTTTGGCAGGGCGCTTAGACTGAGCGTCGCTGCCTAGGTAAGCTGCCGGGCGCCAGGGGATCTTTTGACTTGGAAACTTACGATTACAGGAGGGATGGGAGCAGCAGATTAGCATGGAATGCTAGCTTTTCCTGTTGTAGGTTAAGGCTCTTAAGCAGTTTGTTGATTATTCTCTTTCCTTAAGCGTTCATTTAAGAGCTCCTAGGTTGTACATGCCCGAATACATATTGGGCAGTTTAGATAAAGATCATGGAGTTATTTTAGATTTTTTTTCATAATAGCAACGGGTGATTTATGTACCGATTTAGTGCATTCCCTTTTCTACCTCATTGTCTCATCTTGTTTGTGCAATGCAATGACAAGACCTCTGGGACGGTCCAGATCCGGTGCACGATCCTTCCTGACGAAGGCAAAATTGCATTGATGATCCCATGCTTCAGGGCATTCCATAAGGCCTTCATGGACGAGTTCCGGGGCTCTCAGCAGCCCGTGCAGGATCTCCGCCGTTGATGATGCCCATGCATGGTATGGTTAGACCGAGTGATGTGAATCTGAAGCTGTAGCATTTTGTGTGCTGTACATGGGAAATCAGGGTGCCTGAGCTCTGGCAGAGTTGTTTGTACTGTTCAGTGTTCTTTCTTTCTGGTTGAGTTGTCCCCATTTGTCCTCACTTCTGTAATTCTGTTGTATGACTCGTTACAGTGATATGCCTATACTGGTTAAAGTTAAGCTGAGTGTTCAGGAACATATCTACTGTGACCTTTACTTCTATCTGAAGTATATATGCCTTGCTTGCGCGTCGACCAAGCTTTAGTTTTGCCTTTTGAATGGCGAACATTATGAACCCCTAATGTAATGTTTTTTAACTTGAGGCTTTGATGAAAACCTTGAAACTTTCCTCAAGCCAATTTTAACCATCAACGACCGAACAAGCAAGCGGCCAAAGAAAGATAAATGGATGCCTCAGATTTTCCTTAGGAAGCATACAAGAGATATATCGGTTTTGTTCTAATTGCCAACTCATGTCTCTCTTCTAGTAAAGCCAAGTTTATGTAACCATAGTGCGGCTCCGACTCGTGTCTTAGGGATTATTTGTCATGAGCTCGTCCTCAATTGCTAGTTCGGAGGATCCAGAGCACTCGAGCAGGAGCCATAAATTGCAGCTCCTCATCTAGATAAAAAATAGAGCCATAAATTACAGCTCCTCGTATAGATCAAAAATAGTCGGCTCCTCTACTATTCACCAGAAAAACAGCTCTTCTAAAGTGGTTGGTTTGGCTCCACCGTGGAAGCTATCCGAGCCATACCGAACAGATCCTAAGAGTATTGCATAAGCAAATTTAGGTACACAAAAAAAAAACAAATTTAACTGAGACAACTAGTGCTACAGTAAGCTGTTGTACATGTCCCTACCTACTGCGTCTATGTTGTTGTCTGCTGCGTCGTCTCGCATGTTATTCATTGTTGGTTCATGTGTTCCGCTTGGCTTGTAACTCGCGTTTGGTTGGCAGCCTTAACTTGCCGCACCGCGCCGCAGTTTCCGCGCCCAAATTCTGGCATGCATTTGGTTCCTTTCCAAACTTGCGGCATGCCGCAACCTAGCCACCACGTTCTAGTTCAATTTATGCACGATAATCTGCTGCAGTTGCGGCATGCAGCGGCGCCAACCCAAATGCGTTCTAAACACTTTCTAGGTGCCACAAACACGTTTCCGAAAAAGAAGGAAACGGTGCTGGACTGATTGAGAAGGAAACAACAACACCCGAAGCTACTGTTCCAACGCCAGCGCCACAGAAATAGCTCCTCACACCGCTGAAATCCAAAACAGAACGCAATCAGACTGAACGGCACCAAAAACCGGATGTAACGGTGGCTAACATAGACCAGCGGCGCACCATCTGCTGGAATCCAGAACAGAAACGCAGTAAGACTCGACGAACTGAGCAAATCAAACTCCCATTGAGCTGAGGTTTTAAAGCTTTGCTATGTACTCTAAAATAATAAAAAAATAACCATGGATCCTTGATCTAGAAGGCATTTATCATGTATTATTACTCCCTATATGATGTAATAAGAGAAATATATATTTTCTATTTAGAAAAATAGATAAAATATCCTTCTATTAAATCTAACTTGCATATATGACGTAAATTATCATCAACGTGACGAAGCAAATGTTGTGAGGTGCGTGACATCAACATGTGCTAGTCAGCCTGAGATGATCGATCTGTACACGTGACGTAACCTGCTAACGTGCTAATGGGATGTTTATGTATAGGTGACATGATGGATCTAAAGTTTTATACGTGAAATCATCACGGGATGTGCAACAAACACTGTTTGTTCATAAAAATGGGGTACAAAAAGTAAAAGGATAAACATAGATTTAGAAATTCAAATCAAAGATTAAGCTGGCAACTATAACTAATGACAGTTAATGTTAATTAATGAGAAAAAACAGGGAAAGCCGCTGGGTGCTCGCTCGCGTGAACAGAGCGTGACCACGTGAGGCACGCCCATGAGCTGGAGATTTTTCTTTTTGGCCGGGATTTTCTTTTCCTTGATTATTTTAATTATTTCTTTTTAAAAATCAAGGATTGGGAGTTTTTTTAAAAATAAGTCTTACCTTTAGAAGGCCACCAGCGTGGTTTAAGGCCGCTATAATGCCCAACACGAAAATCCTGCCGCGAGCGTGGTTTAAGGCTGAAACTATGTAG